TGATCGCGCGGGGTGGGAAGAAAGGGCGTGCGAGACGAATGACTCGTGTTTCCATAAAAATTTCACACCCGCGCGTCCTGCGGGACCGGTTCCGGCGGAAGGAAGCTTAGCGCGCAAAGGCAAAGCGTTCATTAAAATTCAGAGCGCATCTCCGTACGGCGCTCAATACCGGGCTCTTCGAGAGTGCTCCCGCCCCCTTTCTGTTTCCTTCTCTTCTCCCCCTCTCACCATCGCTTCCGATTCTCCTATCAGTCATCCTTACCGCCACTAAATCATGACTGCACCTGCGATGACACTTAAGTGCATCGTCTGACTGCGCATCACCGAGTATCTCGGGGGATACTCGGCGAGCGAGAAGGGAAAATATCCTTTCGGTAAACCGGGCTCGATGTTCCATCCTCGACGAGAGAACGACGTTTTGAATTTCCATTTCGAACACTCCAAAGTACTTCAATATCGTTCCGCGACATCTAGTGCTTCTGAGGAGGGAAGAGGAATATCGCGCGTGAATCAAAGAACGGTTTGTCCTACTTTGTGTTATCTCTCACATCGTAGGGCCGTAGGAACGCGCGGCGGTGAAACATTATTTCTCCCTGTTAAACGATTTATCTCTCTCTTTCCGAGAAATCGCTCCCTTTTTTTCGGGAAAGAGAGATGTCAATATTTATACTACATGACGTCCCACGGCGGATATATTTTCGTCGCCCTCGGGCCTGCCCGACGGGAAAGAAAAAAAAAAAAAAAAAAAGCGAAATGACGCGCGATACTTTTCACACATGATATTGGCTGAGAATGATGAGATTGAGGACAGCAGCAATAGAGGGACAGGGACTGTGTGCTGCGAGGTTGTCGCGCACAGGAACGTCGCATACGCCGTCTATCTGAAATGCGACGATAAATCTGCAAAATTTCGCGGACGGCACGTTCTCCCGCGAATTCATCACACGCGATTACGCGTGTTCCGCGTTTCTCGCGGCCGATAATTGCGCGCGCGATGAATGGAGGAATGCGCGGAGGTGCTGCAATATTTGCACAACAACACAGAGTAATATAATTATCCCGAGTACTTTTCACACAGGGAAATATTTCACGTTCATCATGTTAGACGCATCAAAAACTGTGCAAATTACAGCAATTTAAATTTAATATCGGTACAATTAAAACAGCGGCGATTTCAATTTAACACGGGGAGAATTTTAAAGCAGCACGCGCACTCGTCGTGTGCATTCTCGTGCCATGCCATCATATTTGCGTCGCTCGATTTTATTTTTACCGAGGTCCCACCAAGATTCCGGTTCTCTCTCTCTCTCTCTTTCTCTCTTCGCAAAGGACCAACGCCGTACGCGATGCAAATCGACGGAGATTGCGCGCCGTCGGGAAAAAGGCGAGTTTCCCCTTGGCCCGTGATTTTCGCCGACGTATCGGAAATTCGCGGCTGCACCCACCGCTCGCATGCGGTCGAAGGAGATCGGTGGTCTAATAAGCAATGCGGAAAGAGAATCGGTGATCGGCGCATGTGCTAACTGATCACGTCGCATATCCGGATCCGCCAGAGAGGTCTCGAGGGGGGCGGAAGCATTTTGCAAAGTGGCGTCGTCGTCCTCGGGTTAACTACGAGTCGGTAGTCCCAGGAACGGTTCCTAGCGGCTGGATAAATAGGTAAATGGCGCGCTGCGTGCTCCGAGAGCATTGTATAACACCCGGAGTTCATGCACTGTAATGCCGGCCTTTGTTGTGCCGCTAAATTAATTCGCGAGCTACCACGACGAGATTCGAGAGTGATTCTCCCTCGTAATCCGTCGGCGTCCAAACCCGAAGCGGCGGCACACCCGGTGGTGAACTTTTGCTCGGCACGTTTGAAAAATTATGATGCAATCCGGGATGATTCGTCGCATCGTGGTAGGTAAATAATTAGAGCTAACTCGCCCGCGGCGAAGTTTGTACACATTACACAGCCTGTAGCTGCGTTATTACCAAAGCTCGAGAGCTGCCGTTTCTCTTACGGTCTCTCCATCCGGGCACGCTCGCCGCAGGTCCGAGCGTCGAGAATCTAGTCTGTATGGCACTGTTATTGTATCTGGAAATTCGCCCATCGTGACTTGCAGCTGTGTCCGACGGTATCAATGTTTAAGGTAGTTGCATCATTATACGAAAAACATTATATCTTGATTGAGATTCCAAGTGGTTTTATTCTTCGGTTACTAAGCAGAAGTTAATAAACTGTTCGGTAATTGCTCGGAAAATGTATGAAATTTCTACAAAGGTAGGTCACATTTAAATCTATATATAATGCAAGCTTCAATGAATTTTTAACGAGAGATTATATTACGAGAGAATATCTCCAAGAAATTAGGAATTAGAAAGCGACTGGATTCTTCAATCGGCAATCGCGCGATGTGCGAATATCTGGGCAAGATTCAACCCGAAGAAGGCTAAAACCGGAAGGCGTTATCGACGCTTTCTGCGAGTTAATTCAATTTTGATGAGCGGACAAAATATTCTCGTCGTTCTACACGCGTGCTTAACTATTCCATTGTATAGCGCTAGTTTCCGCTGTTGCGATAAATTAATTCGCGAATCAACGCGTGCAAGATTGCCGTGTTTCTACTGCTCCCTGTTTCGTTGGCGCGTCTTTTATGATAAGCATTCTCTGATAATTATTACGTCGCATTAAAAGCGATGCGGGTTGTCGTTCATTTTCATATCGAAATTGAATCGGCAAATCGCATTGGCTAAAGTGGTTAACGTCTACCGCACGGTGGGTACATTACTGCTGCTTTGCAATATAATTTAAGAGAGTTGCAAGTGCGCGCTATCGCAGATTACGAGAGAGAAAGGAAAAGATAGAGAGGAAGAGAGAAACGACCAGATGGGAAACATAAATGTGGCTCTAGAACCGGTAGAGCGAGAGAAACGACGTATGGCAGCGGCAAATATTAAATATTCATGAAATGGAAATATGATAAAAATGTAATTATACATTCGCGCACATCGCATAATATTTGAATTTCAACAATCGCGACGCGCTATTTTCGATAACCAAAGAAGAATGTGCTGTTAATGAGTTAAAATATATGCTGTAGAACGTACGATATATAAATTGATTTGCTCGAATCCAGGCAATTTGAAACGTTACGATGGGCTCGTAAATATCGAGCACCGACAAGCAAAGATGAAAGTATACCGCGATTGTTATTTCTCTTTTTCTCGCCGTACTTGCGTGTAACGTCGTTTCATCGCGTACTGGTAACATCTGTTATATAACAAATGTTATATAACCGTTACATAACTTATGTAACTGTTACATAACTGTTATATCTATTAATATTCCAGAAATATTACTTATTATTAAATAATATTACTAAAATATCACTCTCTCCCTCCTTCTCACGACGCTTATGAACGTCGAATGCAGACCATGAATAATATACGCGTCGTAAACGAAAAAGCTCGCGAACGGACGGAGAACAAACGCGAAAAGTAAACGCGAAATATATTTCCATACGGCAATTTCCATAATGAAAGAGAGGATTTCCCAAAGGCGAATAACGGATTTGCGTCGCTTACGAAACCTGCATCGCGGATTAACAAATATTTTTCTAGGACGCGTACATAGTTCGACGTAGCGGCGCGGCGCTATGTATTTTCGCTGTACTCCCGCCTGCATTTACCAACCTTGTGCAATCCGGCTCGGTCCTGCCTTTCGCGAAGCTCGTATATTGTACACGCACGACCATTGTAGCTACACGTTCGCGGGCTCGCGAAAAAAAGCCCTCCCCAGCTGCAGTTTAAAAACGCGGCCCCATTTTTTTCCCAACTCGCCCCGCCTGTTCCCGGCGCCTTCGCTTGGCCGACCATCCGCGTTGCTGCTGTATTTTGTTGCTTTCAGTTTCGGCCACCGCAACGTTACTTTGCGTAGAAATGATAAGCGCGCGCGCGAAGCAAGGAGAATCGCGTGTTTTGCGCGCACGGATCGCCGGAAAGTCAACAACGACCCGCGCGCGCTGTAAAAATAATTCTCGCCGGCAAATCGCTGTACTTTTATCCGAAGAATCATCGATTTTTCTCTCTGAAACAATCGGCCACCGTAGAAACGTCTCCGACGGGCAGTTGGACGGCGACTTATTAACATCCGGGCGGATGTTGCAACTTGAAATCAACGAGGTCGCTCACCTCGCCTTTCCGTATGGAATCTGACCGCGTCGCGGTGGGCATTTACTTTCATGGGATAGCACGGGACAGCTGCAACAAAAGGAAGAAACCCGGCAAAAGGAGCCCGAGCGCGCCCGCGTGTCTTGCTGTTTCGCGGAATATATTTCAGGGCGCAATATATTTTGGAATTATATTCAGCACGGCGGTTACATAATACCGCGACGACCGCCAGTGTATTCGGTCGTTGCGTAACATCTCGCGAAACTTATATTTAAAAAAGAGATGAATAAGAGAGGAAGAGGGAGACATTTATGTCTATTATAACGGTCCTGCCACTACGCGGTGTCCAACTACAGCCGGGCTTTCTCTCTCTTTCTCTTCTACTTTTTAATATCCTTTAACCTACCGGAGCCGCGCGATGTTCGCGATGGAGAAGGGAAGAAAGAAAGCCTGGGGAGGGGAAAAAGAAAGGAGATCGCCGGTATACAACACATTTTTACATTCGCGCTCTTTTCCGCGTATAATTATCCCCTTTGTGAACGGGATTCTACGTGGGGGAACAGTAGTCGATTCGATGGCTCGAGATGTTTAAAAGATCAATCCCATCAGACGCGCGTTGCCGTCTCTCTTCCCTGCAATCCCGCGACACGACCGATATCTAGATGACCGTGGCTTAGGGTGCTATCATCGCCGGATTTCCCTGACCTTTCCACCGCGTTTTCGTCTTACACACCGTCGTCATCGGCGATCGGCCGTGCCCCCCGAAATACAATTCCCTAAACGATGACCGGATGCGAGGGCCCACGGCGTGCATTTTAATGAACTCGCTGTCCGATCTTGTTTTCCAGTGGCGTAAGTTCCTTCGGGAGGACGAGAGAGGAAGAGAAGAGGAAGGGACGAAGAGAGATAGACCGAAGGAGAGAAGCGGGAGAGTCCGCAGAAAGAGAAAGGGAGGAACTCTGCAGGCGGCGGGGGTGGCGGCGGCGGCGACGGAGGGCGGGGAAGACGGCGGGGTGAACCGGAACCGGAAATGGCTGCGAGGTGGCTGCTGCTGGCGCTCCTCGTCGCCCACGCCGCGGCTCTTCCTGATTTCATTAGGATAGGTGAGTATCTTTCCAGTTTCCTCTGACGTGAAAGCCGCGACCCTTTCGGCCGCGTTGAATAGCGTCAGTAAAATAATTATCAATGTCCCGGTCGATAATACTCGAGTCGAGAGCGACTTTGCCTCTCTCTCTCTCTCTCGCTTCGAGATGAAGTCGGGGATGATGGATATTATAAGCAGATAAGATCTTATTTTGCAGTTAATTTCAAGTGGGCCTCGATCTCGTTTGAGGCGGCTCGCTTGCGTGTTTGCTTCATTGCAATCATTGACGAAATAGACCGAAATCTCTCTCTTCGTGATACGCAACTTAATTTGGTTACATTAGGGAAAAGGGAATAAGATGATGAAATGACGATTTATTAATTTTCCTAATCTGATAACAAATGAGTTATACAAATACAGTGATTATTTTCCTTACGGAGTTTCCCCACGAATTTTTTCCGTCCGCGATCTCATTTAAAGCTACTTTCAGCCGACGTCAATCTGCGCGTTCACGCTTGCTCTTGATTTAAGCAATATTGCGCGTACGCGATATCGCGTAAACAGTTACGAAATATCATTAGATAGACAATAGCAGGTCCATGAAATGTTTAACCGGCGGGGGCAAATAATTAAAATTTACGGCGACGATAAAAGACCGCGTTGCTAACGGTGCTCTACTTAATTGGCACTGATGGCGCGGGATAACGTGCATTTTATTGATGCGCGACGACAATTACCGAAGTTCTGGCTTGCGCGCACGTCAGAGAGAAAATCAGCCTGATTTCAACCACGCGTGTACCACTGCGCATGTACTACATACATAGCAACGAGGGTATTTCACAGTCAAATGTCGCTTAACCGCCCGCCTGTGGGTACATTGAAAATAGTCGGCTGCGAACGGACGGACGAACGGGCGATGCAGCATTTCGCTTACAAATTACGGAAATCTCTGTAATGTCGCGGAACGGCTGTAATAGCCCGAATATGTAAGACGAATGGCTCATTTTCACGCGCATAAGAGGGATAACCGTGTGAACGGTTTCCGGATATTTTCCGAGTTTAAAGAAATTCCCGGGATTCTCGCGCGTCACGCAAATATTTGCGTTAAAAGAGACGCCTACTAGTCACACTCGGTCGAAATCTATGCAGAGAGGCATACATACTTTGACAGCATTATTTGATTTTGCCCGACAGTTGACGTTTTCATTGAAAATGGCGTGTTTGCTCTGCCGTTCAAGGCGCAATTTTTTTTTGCGTATCACACTGTATTTTTCACGATGTAAAATATTATCGCACGCGCTCCTCCCTTTGGGGAGGGAGCTTTAAAAGGCCATTTTCTAGTTTTATCATAGAAACGCGCCCCGGTTGCTTTTATACAAAAGCCGTTCTCGTATTTAAATTCTCATTACGGGATGGAGGGGATTACGCGATCGCAAAGTGCAGCGGTGGTTTTCGACGCGCTACTCTCCGATAGAAAATAAAATCTCGTTTATTTAATGGAACAGCTTTCGTTACATCGTTCGACACACGTCTCGTCGTTGTACGGAAGGAAAACCAACACTGTTATCGTTAGCGGGATCTAACGGCGGTCTCGGTAACGTTGTACGTGATATTTCTATACCTGAAAATTATGGATTTATGCATATCTGCTCGCGAAGATAAATATTTGCGATAACAAAGCGCCCACCTCGAGTGAATATTAGCTTTTCGCGTGCCGCTCTCCGTCTGATCTCCAATGGCGATGGAACAATGACGGCTTATATCGGGTCGATTCATAAATAACTTCCGGCCAAATATTTGATATTTGCTTCCCGTTACCAAAAACCTGCCGAAAGAGTCCATTATCTGAGAGCGTGAGTTCACCATTAATAACGACGCATGTATATTCGATTAAGCTCCATTGCGAGATATATTTCACGCAACAACAAATTTTAAGATAATAAAGCGCCAAGGTTATCCGCGAGCCAATTCGTTTAACGGTGTAGACTCACCTCGTGAAACCGTGCTATTGTTTAACAGCCCGATATCGCCGTCGTCGTCGTCGCCGCTGAGTATTTACGGCGCGCGAGTATATATAAGCGACACAAGCAACGCGATGATGCATCGAAAGCCCGGTTGCACTCTGAACTTTTATCGAAACGTGTAAATTCGCGTTGCACTTGACTTCCGAGTGCTTTCTTCTTCGTAGAGTAGAGCGGATCGATATTACACACGAGAGAGAGCCCGACGATTCACGCTCGCTTGCCGCGCGAGTTTTGATGCGCTCGATCGTGCCGTTTTCTACCGTCTGTTGCCAGTTTACCCTCACGTGTGCACGCGGCCAATGTCTTCCTGTTACCGGCTCGAGGATAGAGCTCGCGGCGAATTACCAAAATGGCACGAAGAAAGATCGCCGGGCGAGAGAGACACTTCCAGAGGTTCCTTTTGCCTTGCATTACGTCGATTGAATTTTAAGCGACCCGCCATCTCTCAGCCTTCTAATTCGTGCGATATCCTCGCTGTGTAACTTACTCCGCCGCCGCGTCGCGATATTTCTGCCGCCGGTAGCTGTTCAATTATTGCTAGTCGAACGTAAATTGCGCCGTTGTCTCCCACTGCAAAATTGCACGTTGCGAAATGAACAACTGACGCGAAAGGGCGAAAGCTGCGAGTTCACTTCCGGTGTGTGTGTGTGTGAAACACCGGTCTAACGCGAGCGCGATGAATATGCAGATAACGAATTTTCCTGATTTTCACATCACGAAATTCGTGCGAGTAAGCAAAAGATGTGTTTCGCGTATTATTCGTAAGCGTTGCGAGCTCGGTCTAATTGCGAGTTAAGTGAAGCGAGGCGAACGATTTTAATGGCGATCTCGGTGAATCACGATTTTTCGGCGAATATTCGGACGATAATGGCGATAAGCGACGGATAGACGCGGCTGTTCGAATCGACCACGAGCGAGCAACGAGAAAGGCACGCCGCGTAATTTACGCGCTTACAAAGCTGTCTTTCGCGTCGTTATAATTAGAATTACGAGCGATCCTCCGTCTCGGAGCGGCGCCTCGCCACTCGCTTTCGCTACGTTATTGCAAACATGCCTCACGGGCCGTCAAACCCACGTCAAAATTAAAAGCGCGCGCGATTCTAGTTTTCGCGATTTATTTGCATAAGCTAGCGGCGACCTTGCTTCTTGCGCGCTTAATTAAACCAACTCTTGATATACGGAATACACCGCAAATAAACCCGATGTGTCCGAGTGAAATCAATTTGCCGTTTTTGTTGTGCCGTAATGGTTGCAACGAATGCGGCGACGTGGGCGCGCCGCCGAACGACCAGCACCGAGTAATTCATTAACGATCAATGTGGGGAATTCGAGCTCGATTAATTGGGCAACAGTTCGCCCGGGAAAAAACGGAGGAGAAAAAGAAACGTCTGACCTCGGGCGAGAGAATGCTTTCACCGGGGTATAATTTGCGACGCGATACACGTCGGATACGTCATTGCGTAGAGGAAATGCGGGCATTTTGGAATAGTTTAAGGTTTTTGTTTAACATAAATCGAGCTTTAGTTTTCACCGAGTTGTAATGCCAAATGCTTTTATAACGTATTTCTAACGGACTCCACTTTTCTCTAGTACGTTTAATGTTGTATACATTTTTTTGAAAATAGATTTTGGAAGGGTAATACGGAATAGATAGGAGTGAAACGGAATACTTCGTTTTAGTGCTGTTAATTTCGATTAGCCGGGTGCCCGAAGCCACATTTCTTAGTTTCACACTAAAAGGCTATTAAGAATATGTGAAATAGATTGACTGTTAAATAAAAGTTTAAAACCTTACTCGATGGAAATAGCGAGACACAGAAAATCTAAAACTGAACGCACACGAACTCGTACTAGGCTGTCGTTTTGTAAGTTAGATCAAGGGTCCAGCGATTAGTAATTCCACTGCTATCCGCTAAGTTGCGACACTTAACATGCTAGAAATCATAGTATTACGTATTACCCGACTATTCCATATTACCCGCACTTACTTTACATGTCACATCGTCCACATTGCGCCGCAACTCGGGTGATTCGCCGTAAATTTCTGATCGATCGTTCAGTATCCGTCGAGATCCCCCCCCCCACCTTCCTCCGAAATGTTATTGCGTACTTTTAGCCATTCCCCCTCTCCCCCATCTCTCGTCTTCCCGCTCGGATGGAAGCTTTATAGACGTACTAATTTCATTTCCGCCTACACACGAGTCCCCGGGAAAAAAGAAACTCTCCCGCGGAATTCATTCTTCTGGCGTGCAGAGTGGCGCACGTTCCTTTTTTCCGATTTCAAGCCGCGGCTATTTCACACCCTTTTTCCGGCAACGCGTTATTACGCTCATTATTGTCACAATGGTGCGGGCGCGCGAGCGCGGCGAATCGGGCAGCCTTACGGAAGTAAATCGATAGCGGACCGCTAACGAGAGACGTAAATCTATCCCGCAAATTCTATAAATCGCGGAGTCAAGCCGGCGCAGCTGTTCGTACAGTTACTTTATGACGTACACGAGATTAAAATCAATTTATGGCGCCAATTTCTCCCGCCGAATGAATTGGAGCACGCGGAATTTAAGCGGTCCCGACCGAAGAACAGCGCCGGGAGAGTACTTATGTGACGCGACGCGCGATGGAAATGACAAGAGACCGAACGTATTGTTACTAGCGCGGCCGGCGTGTTTTTTCTTTCTTTTATTTATTTTTTTAATCGAACCAAAATAAATCCGCACCCACACCGTGCGCCCTCGCATCTCGCGCGATAGCAATGCTATTATTTCGTATACAGAGATATTTCACGAATATCCCTTTTAATTCAGCTTCCCCGGGACACGCGCACCTACTCGTGGTATTTTTCAATTCCTGCGTGCTTTTTTTATTCCTTTACCTTGCCACGATGTAATCCTGACGTTAAACGAAATATATTTTTCGGTCTTTTTTTTTTTCGCACGAGCGGGTTAACGAGTAATTTAAAGTACATTTTTCTGGATTTGTTTGCCGAAACTCTTTTTTCACGACGTGTCTGCCGTACGTAACGCCGGTACGGTTTTATGGATATTCGATCAGCGCGGAAGATATAATCTGTTAGTCTAGAACACTCTCTCGAATCCATAAATCAAACAGACACAAGCGCGAAACACGGTCTGCGGAGAATTCTATTTTGAATCGGAGAGGGGGAGACGGTTTTTTACACTAGATTTCTTCCCGAACTTCCGGGGCAGCGTGTTATTTTCCAAGTAGGACCGGATTTTTCGAAATTTGCGCAGGCTCACGTATAAACACATGCACGCGGGGAACACGGCGAACCGGTGACGTTACCGCGCGGTTACCGATGCGGATCGTACCGCGAAAGTGCAAATGGACCATAAATCTTTATCGCGGCCGATACAGCGGGGGTGAACAGAGAGAGAAGTGAATAGATAGACGGTCGGACGAACGCGCACCGTCGAATAAAGGAGAGAGATACGCCTGACGACAACGGTCGGTCGTGGACGGAAAATAAGGAGAAATGTACGCGTGGATCTCGTCAAAGTAGCACCCTTTAATATGGATGCGTGATTTCCCAGGCGGGCTGTTCCATCCGTCGGACGACAAGCAGGAAGTGGCCTTTCGCTATGCCGCGGAGAAAATCAACGCCAACCGGGACATCCTGCCCAAGTCTCGACTCAGCGCCCAGGTCGAGGTGATACAGCCGCAGGATAGCTTCCACGCCTCGAAACGAGGTGAGTTTCATAATCGAATCGGAAATACTCGTCTGATACGAGAGACCTCGTCTCGTCTCGAGCTCTCGCTCGTCCGTATCCAATTTCTTCAGGTGAGACCGATTATTCTTTTCGATACCGGTCGGTCGGTTTTGTTCTTTCAGAGTGTGTCGATCCTCAGTGTGCGAAATATTCTATCTCCGTTCCTTGATTCTAATTTAACGCTGTTTTGTAAAACACAGTCGTTTAATTTTTCTCTCTCGCCGATTTAACACCGATTTCCGGAACTTTCAAATCACTTGTTGAAAGTAAAATTAAAAAAAAAATGCTGCAGAATAATTTGGTTATGCCCAATAAAAATATAATTAATTAATTATATATAAATTTTATGGCTGTTGCAACGACGTTTCGCTACGATAGCAACCTTATTTTTTCCGTGTGACAAATTTTTTTCCCGTCACTATATTAACAAACAATTTGCTGTTCTGGCAAATCTTCTTTTGTCCGTGTAGTTTCGCTTCAACGGTAAAATTACTTTCCTCCGTGTAGATACGAAAGAAGATGGCGCGATGACTTCGGTTTCGTTAAGCGTGCGCTAAGCGACGTCAAAATGAAGAAATTTGAGGGTAAACCGGGCGAAGTAGTTTCTATTTGACGGTGCCGAAGAAGGTCGAAAAGCTCGTATCGTGAGAACAAGGGGCTACTATTGTTGGCCGGAAATCATCTCGCGCTAATGTATGCACACCGAGTCGCACGAAACTGCCGCGAAAGTTCGCGCTGCTTGACGCACGAAATAAACTCCATTTGCGCGATTAAGGATTCGAGACTCGCTCGTTGCTCGCTCATGAAGCTTCGCTCTCGCCAAACGGCGAAACGGGGCACCAGCTGATGCCCGACGCGACGACCCTATTCCAACGGGGGAACTCCCTAACATCCTTATCTCGAGCAAGGGTGAAGCCCGTTTCACCGTCGAATCCTGTTACTTGCTGTTCAGGCGTGTCTTGTGTATCACGTGCGCGCGTACGTCAGTAGAGCAAAGTTGAACGCATTAACATATTAAAAATTACAACTCGTCCGACTAACGGTTGGTGCGTTTCATCACGCGATGGCGTATACTTGCCTCGACCAATTCTACAGATTAAACATTATTAAATATTATAAAGATTCGAGAAATAAAGTTGTACTTCTCGCTGAAAGCTGTAAGAAACATCTTCTTGTCAGATAACTTTCGTATTAACTTTGAATCCACTGTAACTGGATATTCATTTCAGATCTTAAAATATATATAATTCACAGGAATATATACGTGTGTGTATAAGTTGCCGGCCGGATCGCCTCGACACATCGGAGTAACTCCGAACGATACACGCGCGAGTTCGAGCGGTAACTCGCGAGCGCGCGGCGGGAAATTAATAACGTCTAGCGCAAAATAATAACTCGACGGATATTTGCGCGCGGAATTAACTAGGGCCAACGTAATTACCACGTCGAGTTACTAAATGATTAAAGCGAGCGGCGCATCCTAAATATGCATGCCGTGGAGTCGCGGGTGCATCGGTCACGCGACGCGCCCACGTCCGTGTGTGTGAGTTGCACAAAGCGCGAGTTGGATGGCCGAATTTGGCGGGGCTCCAGGCCGGTATTACGGCCGTGAAAGCAATTTTATTGATAAACTTCTGTTTGCCAGAAGTTAACAAATCTCCTTGGGACGCGGCGATCGCCGGGCGCAATCGCGCCGTACATTCGGCGACGGTCCGTTCGCCCGAATTCGGTGATTCGAAAAAATTTATCTCTCGCTGTAATTCAACGACGTAACGGCACAATGGAGAGTAACGACCTGTCGCCGTCGGTCGCTGGCCTCAAACTTTACTTTATACTTTACGTACGTCGACCCTGCGCCGCGACCTTAATACGAATTATCCAGGATTTCAGCTTCATTAACGGGGATTACGTAAGAGGGATGCAACGTGATTACATGCGTGACTCGGGGGACCTCGTAAACAATAACGTGTATCAAAGGCCGTCGCGCTACGTCGAATTCCGAGTCGGGAATGTCCGAAACCGAAACGGTAATCCGAGTTAATTCGACGCGGTATTCGAACGCCTCGGGTCGGAAAAGTAACAAGGTTCATGTAGTCGTAAACAAATGTTTCTCCATTTCTCCATTTATGTCTGCGACACATTGACGCTTTCGGTAACTTACCTTCGTCACTTACTTTTGGATTTAGCGTAAATAACACTCGAGAATCTCAGTTATAAACAGCAGTCGTCCGATTCTTCAAAAAAGTCACGCGCTCACTTACGGGTTAAAACACTCTCGAACGATCCGTATCGGCGGGAAACGAGAGAGAGAGAGAGAGAGAGAGAGACGAACGAGGGGAATGAATGGAGCAGAGCACCATGACGGAAAACTTTCGCGTCATTTCGCTTCGGGACAAAATGTAGAGTCACTCGAAAAAAGCTCGATCCCCGCGACATATTTGTAAATCGACGGTATCATTAATCGTATCGATAACGAATTTGCCACATCCGCATCGTGGATACCTACGACGTGTTCAATGGCTGGCGCACACCGCTATCCATTTGTTTGATTAGCGACGCGCAATTCTCCGCGGTAGTCGTCCGAGAGAGAAGGGGTGAGAGGGGAGATAGAGAAGAAGAAGAAACGGTACTGATAAACGGTTGTCCGCGACGTCGGGCGCAATAGTGAGATAAATTAAATGCTGGAAATTCACGTCAGGTCTCGTGTTCTTCGTCGTCTAGGTTTCCCGCTCGCGGCGGGGCCCGGGGCGATGAACCCTTCTCTGCGTTCGACAAACAGAAAGAGAGCGGGGGGATGGTCGTTTGGACGGTCTCGCTCTCGCCGTCTTTTTACGATACGACGGAAAAACATTGGCGGTGGTGGCCTTTTGTTCGCTTCGTACCTTCGTCCGCGATGGCGACACGGGTTGTTGGTAATACGGTTTTACGATTCCCGCCCGGCTGTCTCGGAATTTTCGGTAATACACCCTCCCCGGTCGCTTCTCCCGCGCCGTGAAGCGCGGCTTGGAACGGAAGTTAACGAGGACGCGCACATTCGATTATACGCATCGCCCCGTCGGCCGGAAGAGGAAAAAAGAGAAAAGCGAAACGCCAAACGACAGCGCGATAGTTCCGGAGTTAGCGAGCGGAGTGAGTTCCGCATGGCGCGGCGCGGAGAATATCACTCAAAAACGCAGGTATCCGGAGCTCTCACGCGAACACTATCGCGCGATAATCTCCGTCAAGTACCGGAAAGAAGAGAGAGAGAGAGAGAGAGAGATGGTCCCTTCAAAAAATAGTCTCCCTCCAGAATACTTACGCCGCAAATTTGCAGTGAAAATGACAAATATGTATGAGAAACGTGCGTACAAGCACATTTTCTATTAATTACACCTACATAAGATGAATTCGCGGAGATTTCAATGTTTATTTTCCGCCAGGTTTTCATAGCTCCGGCTCCGCAGTGCGACCTGAAAATATTCATACGATCGAATTGCGAATCCCGTCAAATTCCACGAAGTTTACGTTTCGCCACGTTGACACAGCCAAAGTCACTTTGGATTCCTCGCGCGGGCTGCTCTCACGAACGCGGAAATACGGGAAGCGCCTTAATAAATGTTCAATAACAGGAAATTGTTGCGGCATTCATTCCCGGGACAGATATCGGTCGCGCAGATACGCACTTCGCATACACAATGCGGACCCGCGCGAGATTACGTGTCGTAACTCGAATATATTATCCGCGCTTTTATTTTTCGTGTGCGGGTCGCGTGTACGAAAAGGATCTCGACGGTTCCGGACGTCCCTCTGCGCCACCAATGCGGAAATGAGGATATACCGAAACGCCTTCGCTGAAGTATAAGAGACGCCTCGTGATATTTTACGCTTACAGCGGCGCCTTAGCGTGTCCGAGGAAGGTTTCCGTAACTACTCAACCGGGATCGGGCTAACTCGCAAGCAGCGGCGTTGTCTCGCTCGTTTCACTTTCGTTAAGCCAATTTCCCAAAACCACGGAGGAGGAAACGAAAAGTTCCGTGGGAGCCGGCAAGCTGCGCGACCGGCCGAGATGGGGCCGTCCGCTCTAATTTCGCGATAACTTTTAAGGTTTCTTCCTTCACATAGTTGCGCCAACTTTCGAGAACGTATTGGGAAACGTCCGTCGTCTTCGCTATCTCGGATCTGCCGCGCGGTTTCGAGTTCGGAGCGAGGGATCGAAAGATATGTGTGTGTGTGTGTGTGTGTGTGTGTGTGAACGTGCGCGCGTCTTGTTAACCCTCCGCTATCTCGGCATACCTTGAAGCGCGCTGATTCGCACCTAACTTCATGTTAAAAGTAAGAGAACTTTATAAACGAGTCGACTTCCTTCGGGGGAAGAAACCTGGGATACGTAAGCAGGCAGTTCGGATGGGACGAGATGGCTACGACGGAGGATGAAGACGAGATCCCCACTTTGAGAATAGATTTCAATGACCGAGCGAACATGCGCGACTACCGTTCGAAACAGCGCTAATTAAAAGCAAACGCAGTTCCTATTTGGAGCGGGTGACGCTTCATTTCGCCACTGCACGGAACATGGAAATTCGGCCGTTAAAATTTTAAGTAAGCGTATTGTAATTTTGCAAATATTCGCGGAACGTCGTAGTGAAGTCTCGATTTTAATCGGAAGACTTGCTCGCGACATCTTTCACGATAGCGTGAACACATCGATCCACTTTCTTTTTCCTGCCGCGGACGTTAATGAACGAAACGTTGATCAAACGTAATTTCCTCATTAGAAGTGGCGTCTGTTAGCGTGGCAAAATGGGCCAAGTACCGCACAGCACGTCCTTAATCACCAGATACTCGTCGCGAATATCTAATTAATTTATTATTCACTTTACATCATTATGTCACTTCCTCTCTCAACAGGCTCAGATATTTGAAATATTAAACGAGATTTAGAAAAAAATATATATATCCGAGTACACCTCTTTAGTTATAACTGCACTGCACTCTAAGCC